CATTGGAACCCACAGGGGCATAGGAATAAAGGAAGGCCAAAAAACACATGGAGAAGAGAGCTGGAGAATGAGGTTAGAAAGATTGGGAGGACATGGGAAGAGCTCCATGCAATGGCGAAGGATAGAACGACTTAGCGTGAGTTGGTTGAGGGCCTATGCTCCATTGGGGGATAGACAGGCAGAAGAAGAAGAAGTAGTGGCAGGTTGATCCAAATAGAACCCATACACTGAAAAACTAATTCAGCAGGGAAAGAGGGAAGGGGGTGGGAGTGCTGAGTAGAGGCTCTGGAAGATATTCAACACCGAGGGAGAAACATAGGTGGACTGTTAATCAGGTTGCAACTGTTACAATCAGCATGTGAACTATTTGTTGGCTACTGAAGAAGGGGACAGGGCACATGTGGGAATGTCTTGAGTGCAGTGATGTCAATTCTTGATTCTTTCATTAATCCACTCACAAGAGTATCCAGCCTTAAAATGGTTTAAGGAAATGTTAAGGGAAGTGAAAGGTAGCTGATATGATGTTAACTGCATCATCCGATCAGTGCCTTTTGGTCTGTAAAAAATTTGCACAATGCACTACTGTGGTAAAGGTAGGTAGATAGGTATACCCCACCAGGACATCACACAGAACGATAAACACCCGGTGACACAAAGTGACAACCCGTGGATGAGAATCACCCGTGGAGAGGTCCCAGAAACCTCTTTCAGCCGTTAGGCCATACCTAAGGCTAGGCCATTTCTATAAAAAGTAAAAGAAAAGATCCCTTTTCAAGCCTTTAGGTGCATTGGGCACATGGAAAGAGCACCCATTTTTACAGACCAATCAGCACTAGGTGGGTAGAGTGGTCAGCATTACGCCACCATTCTTTACTTCACCAGGACATACACCATGGTACCCATTTTAGGCTGGGTTGACCTGCAGCGCCCCACACCATGATAAAAATCCACACAACCAGCAGTGGGTTTCAATAGCGGTAGATTGGAGTTACGAGTCGAACTCGCAACGCCTAAGCCACAGACGCCGCCAGGCCATATCTATACCCCAGCTATATTCAGGGTCACTGGTAGAAGCCAGGGTGGGGCTTCAAATAACAAAAAATTGCATCCCACATAGGGACGACTTCTTTATAATATTGTTGCAAAAAAGGGTATTTCACTCTTATATGGCATGGACTGTAAGAAAACGCTGGACGGATAAGGGAAAGGAAAGCATGTAAGAGTAAGACAACTTCAAACATGGAGAAATAACATTACATCATGTAAATAAATTTGTATTTCTAGAGGGCGGACAAGCCCTAGACTATGCTGAGATTCTGAATGCTCTACGAGAAGTAAGACATTTGTGAGAACCAAGTGATGACTGTGAATCTGCAACCATGACCATGAGAACATGTGGGGGAAAGGGGGGAGTGGGGGTGGGGACCAAGAGCATGATGCAGGAAGTCAAATGAGAATAAAAAACAATGCAGAACAAGTATTGTGTGCTGCTACACGCTGAGGGATTTACTAAGGAGGGGATCTGAGCACTTATGGACTGAATGGTTCGATGTGCAATGAGGATAATCTATTGACTAGCTAACTAAGTATTCCCCTCATATCCCAATGGCAATATCTACTTTGGGACTACCTTTACCATTAACTAACTGTGTACACTTATTGGTCTGCCTTTGCCCTTAAAAGGACAGTTGGCAGTGTTATGTTTTGGCTTACAGCTAGGTTGTGATATCTGCACCTTTCAGCCTAAAATCCTATTATAACATGCTTGTTTGGAGGTGTTGAATCTGTCGAGTGCCTATTGGGACATAAAATATGAATCTATTGCCAAATGCCTCATGTGCTTGCTACTGGTGTAAATTGACTCCTTTATTTAAGTTTTTACTACATGCCTAATGTGGGAGCTGCTGGGGTGTAGCAGCTAGATGCTTATCTCAAGATTAGAAGGTCTTGAGTTCAAGTCCTGAAGGAGCTGAACTGTTCCCCCCCCCCCCCCCCCCCAAATGACCTAGATGACTCTCAGGTCGACCCAGTCTTAAACAAGTACCAGGTAAAGTCCTGGCAAGTTAAGGCTGGTCGGATGCTGACCATATCACCCACTAAGTGCTGATTGGCTTATATACCCAATGGAAGATGTGGAAAAGGTTCTTTACTTTACATGCTCAGTGTATATGGGGAGGAGAGAGGGAAGAGAATGGTTGACTACTATTTATTTAGTTAATACTTACTTTATCTGGCGTCTGTCTGGAAGGCCTTCTGAGTCTATGAAAGCTCTCTCAAGCTGCATCATTTTGTCATTATACATTCTCAGTTTGTAGGGTCTGAAAACAATTGAAGAGTCGAGTATATTAACTCTTAACATTCCAGCCAGTTGTTACTAGATGTTTCAGTTCCAGAAAACCTTTGTCTTCTTTGTAAACAAAAAGAGACCCACTGCACCTACCAAGCATGTTGTAGTAGGTGACTAGTCTGGGGTGTTTCCTTCAAAGTTGGTGACCGGCCCAAGATGTGAAGAACCAATGGTCTGTTTACAAATAAGCCAGATCCGTAAAATAGATGTGCACACAAAACTCAAGTTCTGGAACAAGGCTAACAACGGAAAGCTGACGAACAGGCAGAACTTTCTGCTGGAGTTCGCAGCCAGTGAATGCTAAGAAGAAGAAGCAGTAAAGGAAGAAGCAGAATACTTTCTATTCCAAAATGTGTGGACTTTAACCCTTTCACCTGAGAAGCCACAACAACACTTCTGGTTGGGTCCAATTCCCCGTAAATGTCAATTCTTTGACTTGTCTGTACTGATATGTTTAGATATGTTTAAGAGACACATAGTAAATGCCCCTGGCTGCTTATGCGCCTCATCAAATGTTTAGATCAATTTATGAATACATATATCTTTATATATTTTGAAAATAAATTTTAAAATATAGATACATACATTTTTAACCACTATCACGTTAAATCCTGGATAACGTTTTTCCTTGTGTCTGTCATTATATGTTTCATAACCATGTATAACCATGATAATATTTCAAACAATAACAAAAACTATTAACAAAATGATTATATGATAAATAAAAAAAGCAAAAATATTCTTTGAAAATACAATGGACACAGTTTATCCCAATTTTAACCTTAAAGGTTGAACATAATAATTCTTTACACATTACTACTGCTGTGGTTCTTACCTTTTATCTAGATCGGTTTCTCTGGAAAATAAACTTTCAAACTGTTTAGTTGCTGCAGTGAAGTTCTTAGCTGCTGATAACAGGGCATCTAAAGAGATAAAAATTATATTTACAATGAGAATTATCAAATGTTATGTAGACCCAACCCACTGTATGGTGCAGAAACACTGACAATAAAGAAGCAGGTAGAAAATCAAACTAAGTTTCTGTAGATTTAGATACATAAAAGAATGAGTTGTATATAATGAAAACAAACCAGTCAAAGAAGCAGATTTTGTTGAGATGGGGTATGAAAATAGGGTTGCTGAAAGAAATTAAATAGAGATAGGAGAAACAGTCTGGCCACATTAAAAGACATAAAACTGTCATGAAAACTTGACAAGGTTTAAAAAAAAAAAAAAAGGTGAAATGATTATAATACCTACCCACACTGAATTACAGGTTACTTCCTGCTGGTTGTTAGGACCCCACTATAACTCAGCTATATGCTATATGGCTGAATGGGGCTTCTGGAATGTGTATCTGTTTGATTCTCATCCTGGAGATGTTAATCTAACAGACTGCAAATCTAGTAGGAAAAGGGGGCAGCTTTGAAAACAAAATGGAAGGCAAAAGTGCTAAACTGCAAACTGTTTTTTCCCATGACCCTTAATGTTAAAAATGGAACTTTATGATGCTAGTATTTGTCAGCTGACTCTAAACTAGTACACAGGGGAATGCCCTTGGGCTTAGGTAGTTAGACACACACAAACAAAACAACAGCAAAGGGACATTTTTTTTATCTTTCAAGTCATGAGACACAAGTAAGGAAATAAAGAACACTGTTCACATCTTTGGCACATTGCATTGGGCACCTAGCCTCTATTTTTATAGATCAACCAGTCCTTGATGAGTGATGTGGTCAACATTATGGTGGCCATCAGGTGTACTGGGTATGTAACCTTTGACCATTTTTTTAAAAGTCAGTATCATGGTGACTGCCTTTGCTTTCAAAGACACTTCAGGGTACCCATTTTCTGGCTGTCACAGCTGAGATCAGTTTTTCAAATTCTATGTCTTAAGGAGGAATTGAATGCATCATCCACAGGCAAGCATTCTTCCTAAAGAAGACAATGTGCACTATGATCTCAGCAACATTCTTATAAAGACTTCATTGGAACATAACATTTGGAGGAAAAATATGGATGCTTTTGTTTGCGTGCCCCATTTATCATGTCTTTTGCAGAAAGCCATTCTTAGTGTGGTATGTCAGAAAACCACTTGATCCCAACTAACTTTTCCACCATGTTAAACGTCATGCCTAGTGTGTCCTTGATACCTTGTGTCCATCGTCATGCTGGTCAACTCCTGCCCTTTCTTCCAGAAAATAATACTTTCCATTACTATTCTCTCCAAACCATTACAGTGTTTAATAGGGCCAGAGTTCAGTAGAAACAATACTGTTTATAAGCCAGTCCTCCTTGATATTCAAATTATGAAGAATTTCTGCATTTTTCCTGTTTTTGATTTATGATACTCTAAGTACTTTCATGTGGAGAAACAGTAGACTTTATAAAACATAAACTACTCTTTGTTTTAAGACCACAATTGCAATCTAAAGATAAGCTTTAAAAAAAAAGTCTAACATGTTTTTAAAATAATACACTATTAGGTGAAACAGTAAACTTGTCAGACTGTATATAGCAGCAGTTCAGTAAAACAGCCATTTTTAACAAAACAAAGCAATCGTTATATTGCAGTAATAGTGGTGAAGACACATATGGTGAATTGTCTGGTACCAAAAGAGTTAAGAAGGAAGCAAACAAACATAAGTCTCACCAGTATTGACATTGTTCTTCATCCAAACATCTTTATACATGTTGAGAAGATCCTCGATGAATGTGCTCACAGCTGTGGAGTATCTTGTTACATTCATAGGTAGGGATGGAGCTTCAGCTATATTGCTGAGGAAAAGGATTAAACAAATGAGAGCGAGGGTATTTATGTTTGTATGTATATTTTGTGTGTGTGCTGTGTAAGTGTGTTGTGTACGTGTGTTGTTGTCTCAATGCTCAGTATTCAAAGGAACAGAGGGCTAGGACACACATTGAGGATAAAGGATGGTAGTCCCAAAAAACATCCTTTATGATCAATTATAGAAGGATGGTTGATATTTAGGCCCAGTGTCTACTACAATATACACATTTGTGGAGAAGTGGGAGATGAATGGTGCAGGTATTGAGGTAAATTTATAGTGACTGGAGGCCATGGACCAATTTGAAAAATTAGGAAATCAGGAAGGGAATAGAAATGAAGAGGAACATGACTGCAGATAGGTTGAGGGATAAGCCGCCAAGAAGGAGCACACTAAATTTGTGCTGTGGCAACAATAGTCCTGAAATGCTATGCTGTAACTGTGGAAGACTTAATTTTAAGTGGTAGCAAGCCTTGCTAGTCACACTCGTTATCACTATGGACTTTGATTACACTGCCTGCAAAATAACACAACTGTCTGGATGATGATGATGATGATAAATATTGTGTTTGTATACTGCGTATGTGTATGTTCTATGTGCCTTGCGTATGTGTGATGTTTATATTTGTATGCATGTTTAGAGAGCTTGCCTATTAAAGCAGAGGTTTGTAGCACAGTTATCTTCTTTGCTTATGCTGATGTCACACCCAGGTTCATCTTTAGGTTTGCTACAGGAGGAGATGATTGGAAGGGTATAGATGAGGAGAAAGATGGCCGTGTTGATAGTGGTGGTGGTGATGAGGATGATGTCTTGCTAGCTGCATGCTTCTCATGTGACTCTGATGATTGTTTAATAAAATGTCTGGAAACAAATGTTCTTGTCTATATTGTCTTTATTGTGATACTTCAGCAATGTCACAAACAACATCAATGATATTATGAAAGGCGCTGTGTTCTCCCTATGGCTACATACTCTTGAGGTTGTGCTATATTCTTCATCTCTAGTTACTTTGTTAATTGGTTCTAGTGTCTGTAACTGCCATCTAGCTTCTAGTGCTGCCTGGCACTAACTGCTTGATCATCGACTCTAGCATCTGAATAGTGTTTCTATCTAACGTGTCTCTGTTTCCCATGGATCCATGTATCTTGTGTGTTGTCTCTGTAGCTCGATGTCTCGCTTTATGTCTCTTATCTAGTGTCTGTCTTAAGGCTCAATGTGACAGGTTCCTCTGCTTCTAATGTTAAGCTGGCATCTCTACAACTTCGAGGGTCCATGTTACTAGTCCCTCCACTTCTAAGTCTAGTTGACCGAAGGCTTACCCAAAGTGGTTTCTCACTCATTATTTATACTGAAGCGCTGAAATGCGGGGAACGTGTTTTCTACTCTTGTATAAATTTCTAGTACGTCTCAACATATTTACTATGTGCCTTCTCGCGTGGGATTTTGTAATTTATATCTCGATTGCCTCATCTTGTTCTGCGCGTAAGTATACTCATTTGTTTGGCAGCTGGCCTCTTGGAGACAGTACAACTGCCTTCATTTTGATAGGGCGCGTCAACAATTACATCAAATACTTTTTATAGATTATTCATTGACAAAATATTTCTCTGTTAATAACAAATGAAGGTTCTAGAAAAGAGGAATGTCAAGGTTACCAAAACTTGTTGATTCTGGTACATCTTAGCTTTGCGCAATATTCTACCTCCTAACACACAAGTGATGATGTTTCCCTGTTACAGGTTTTCAAGATTGATATCCAGTAATGATGTTGTCACTTCCTACAAATATGCTCCTGAGATGGTTGCATGTGAACTCTCTGGGACACACTGAGATCTAACTCCTACTGATGTGTTGGCACAATTCAGATGCATCAGGTAGTGATCAGGTGATCTGGCTGACATTCACTACTCACGGAAAAGGTGAAACGGATATTCATTTGGCTACTGGTACCGTTTGAATTATTTCTGTGTACTGGCTGCTGAAAATGGGGACAGGGTGCTTATTGAAATATCTCATGTGCCAAGATGTTGATTCTTAACTCAATTCAACTAGAGGATGAGTTTGTTGTATTGAGCTATCTAGTGTGTCTCTGCTCCTCTGCAAGTGCAATCTCTGCAGCTTCACTAGCAGATGCAGAAAGATGGAGTAAATGCCATTTGGATCGACTTTGGACAATATCTTCTCTTGTACTGTGTTATTGTAAAATGTTTGGGCAGTAACAGGTATGTACTCTTTAAAACAACAAATGACTAAGTTGACAAAACTAAGTTCAAACAGTACATCATATATGGCTGTACTTACTATGCCAGTATTGCCCAAAATTGTGTCAGAGCTTTAGTGAATACAAAGCCTGGATCTTGATAGTTTTCATAGGAAAAAATATTGTCGTATTGTGAATGGTACAGTGGATATGATGAAAGAGGGTACTTTTTCTGAAAGGCAAAAAATACATTTTTAATAATATATTGAAGATGTAAGAATAAACAGTGCATCAACTTAAAGAAAATTTTATTAGTGAAATAATTTCTCCTGGGGCGCTGCGGTGCTCAGTTTGGGAATCACTGCTATGGTCCATATTATAACTTCTTCTGAACTTGAAAAAATCTGTAAGTCAGTAACCGTTAAGCGTAAAATGTTGAAATTTGGCATACAGCCTGTTTAATAATCATGTATGTATTTTTTTTTTATGTCAGCAGACTTCTAATGTTCATTTTAGTTACTTGAGGTATATGAACAAACTGATGAATAAAAAACAAATAATCAACCCACTTACAGTAACCTGAGTAAATTGAGTGAGGGAAACTTTTCAAAAACATCAAACCGCACTCGTCTCATAGGCATTTCACTCAAATGTGGTTAGTTAGTTAGTTAGTTAGTTAGTTAGTTGGGTTATCCTCATTGCACTCCGGACATGTCCATAGGTGCTCAGATCCTCCCCTCAGTAAGAACCCCAACGTCCGATGGCTAATAGTACCAGTTCTATGTTGATTAACAAATCTTCTGGCGTGTCTGGTGTGCGTCTCGTTTTTTGCTGTGCCGATCTTAATTCCCAAGTCTGCCATTCTGGGGAGTGATGTAGATTCACTGTCACCAAAGTCCTCTATCCTTCCCATTTCTCTGAGGGCATTGATAATATCAGCATGATCCATAGGTTGACCGTCGGTAGTGATAGCGGATCCAGCCAACCTGTCAGCTCTTTCATTTCCAGTGGACTTCTGTAATGATTCAAGCCATTGTCTTCGCACTGAACCTGCCTGAACCCTCCGGATTATACTCATTGAATCACTGAGTATACATACACAGGTGTATTTTTGTGTTTCAAGCCAGGCAAACGCTTGCGTCACTGCCATCACCTCCATCATCAAGCTGGTGGTTGTCATGGAGAAGGCGCCGTTGGCTTCTTTGACTGTTCTGTCTGTTGAGCGTGCTGTGAATGCCCATGCGCTTCTTTTTTGGCGTATAACGGATCCGTCTGAATAGATTATTGCATCTGCTTTGTCTGAATTTTCACCGATGAGAGCGTTGACCTCTGCATTAACAGCAACAGGATTCTCTTCTCTACATCGCCTGTTGAGTGTGACAATACAGGAAAATGTACAAATAAACGCCTGAGGCACAGGTATCCATTCTGCACCAGGTATGATGTTGGTTAGGCTGCATATTTGCCTAATAACATCTTCTGCCTGACCTAGCCACGATTTCCCCCTCTTCAGTCTGTCGCCCTTTTCACTAAAAAGCGCTTGATGCAGTGGGTGTTTCTTATCAGCACATATTTTGAGATATGCCCGAGCCCTCCACATCCTGATCCTTTGGTTCATTGTTGGAAAGTCAAGTAGATACCTCATTGCTCCACAGGATGTGTCTCTTGTACATCATCAAAATAATGCGCATGGCTTCATTTTGCACCTTTTCGAGTCGTTCAATTTGGGTAGCACTGACAGTGAGGATGGCCAGAGCGTATTCAATGGGGGAAAGGACCAGACCGTAGAATAGAAGTATTAGTAGTCTTTGCTCAATATTGGAAGCAGCCATAATCCTCATTGCAGATAGACCTTTGCATGCTTTTGTTATCACATGGTCAACGTGTTCCCTGAATGACAAGCTGCGATCGAACCTCACCCCGAGAAACGTCATAACGTTGGTTCTGATCAATACATTATCACGCATTTTCACTTCTGGTAAGTCCGACTTGACAATGTGATTGTTCAAAGAGAACCATGACACTGATGCCTTCAAAGGATTGACATAGGCATTGGAACCATCACACCAGGCGGCAATTCGATCGAGTTCTTTGTGCATAGTGCTGGCGATCTCCTGTCTATCACGCCCTCGTTGATAAATCAAAATGTCATCAGCAAATGACAAAGTCCTTCCCTTTCCATTCAACTGCTGCTCAGTGATCATCACCGTATAAACGTAGAATAAGACTGGTGATAGCGGTGATCCCTGTGGCAAGCCTGGACATATCGTTTGCGGTTCTGAGGACCAGCTACCACATCTTAGTACAATCTTTCTCTGGAACAGGACCGCAGCAATCCAGCGGATCAGAATAGGATTAACTTCTAGTTTAAGCAGCAATTGCATTAAATAATCATATGGTACTTTATTGTAGGCATCTTCTAAGTCCAACACTGCCGCACATGTCTCTTCTTTAATCTGAAATCCCTCGTACACATCATAGGCGAAAACTGCAGCATTGAACCATGTCTCTTTATTTAACCTGTACCCTCCAAGTGTTGGTGGGAACTTATCATGTAGTTCCAAGTAGGTGGTCAATCTTTGTGCGACAATTCAAATGTGGTTATCTCCAGCATACGTCTTCCGTGACTTGTGGGTTTTTCTTTGAGTGGACTAACAAAATAATTACCATGCATCGCTGCACATGCACAATAATTTCCAAACAACCTCCACACATGTGTCAAGTACTGTATATTCTATTTTTTCAGAGGTACAGAAATGCTATAGAAAGATTATCAGAATATCTTGGACAAAGAAGAGGAGAAATACTGACATCTTGAAAGATATGAACATCAAGTAAGATTGGCTAATAAACAGTGTCATGTCTTGGAAGCTGAAATATTTTCAAGCACCATGTTGGATTGGAAAAAAATAATAGCAAAAGACATGGCACCGGGAAGGAGGGGTAGGGGCGACCAACATGAAGATGGGCACAGGATATAAGTGACTCCTTGAGTATAAAAGTACATGAAGCGGGAGAGCTGGCAAAAGACCGTGTTTCTTTCACTCAGACAGTGATGAGAGCAACGTTTTGCAAAGGACCTGCTACATGATGATAATGACAACACCATTAGTCAGAGATAAAATTTAGCTTTAAGAAAACAGCAATATCTGTGTAATTGTAAATTACAGAATCATAAGGAAATGGAAAATCTAAGGCCACTTGGAAAAAATTTGTGTTGGTTAAAACAGGATTTTCAAGGTATTTAAGTTTTGAAATGAGTTTTGAAATGCACTATAGCCACCTTTACTTGCTAGAAGATTTTCTAGTATCCAATTTTTTTAAGCTACAATGACATGGGTAAATTGTTTCCCCAAATCATCATTGTATGGATTCGAAACAAAAACTTGTGGCTGGCTTGTGAGTTGAGTTGAGTTGAGTTGAGTCAAGAATTAATATCACAGCACTCAGGACATTCCCATGCATGCTCCGCCCTCATCTTCAGCAGCCAGCGCAAAGTTCAAATACAGATGGTACCGGTCACAATCGGGTTATAAGTCCATCTTGCCTTTCCTCTGGGTGTAGTGAGCCAGCCAGACTCTCTTGTTACACCCAGGTGCCTTATTTTCTCCAGGCCATAATAATCTTGTTTCTCTACTGATTTTGTTGCTTGTTCCCAAAGGGCCTTGATCACATATGCCTTGTCATGTATCAATTCACCACCCAGTGGTGCAGACTGGCTGGCTAGTGAGTGACTAGCCACTATCCCTCTACTATATATAGAGAGAAGAGATTCTGAAGACCGTTTATGAATGGATGCTGATAGAAGACATAAGGTTAGATGAAATAACATGTGTTAGAATGGAATTATGTGTGGATCAGGCAAGAAAAGATATTGCGAGGAAAGATCAATGAGTCTATAATCAGTGTGCTATGAAACAGTTAGCGTCTACACCTTAAGAAACCAATGGATACACTCGATGTGCTATGATGTGCATTCTTAAATCAGTAAATCAGTAAACAATAGAGAGATTAGGAAGTAGAAGAAGATAGAGACAGGATAGATTCAAAGAAAATGGTTGGAGTCGCTGAGGAAATCTTGTCTGATAGGAATTAGTTTCATTTCTGTGGCAAGGCACTCTGGGGTAAGCGGGAATAAACAAGCGGATTGGTTTGCTGGCAGGGGCATGGTGGGTACAGGAAAAGCAATGGACCAGGCAGACATTCTATATACTCTCAGGGAGGCCGGACCAGAAGATGATTCAGGAGATGACGTTGAATCGGCAACACTCAAAATACTACACAAAATTCAGGTCAAAAGAAGTGTCTCCAAACATGAACACTATACAGGTAGCCAAAGAAGAATTGTAAACCATCACAGAACTGGTGTCATCAGTCGCAACACGCTGAGGAATATAATGTAGATGGGATCCTAGTGCTTATGGATTTATAATACTGATGTGTAGGTAGGATAACTAAACTAACAATAGAGGAATATAAATGAGGAATATAAATGAAACATTTTAATCTTTACATAAATAAGTATAAAAGCTGATTATGGAAATGTTATTATTTTGATGTGAATTCTCAAAAATTTAAAACAAAACAATGCTTTCCTTAAACTTGTATCATTGTATACCTCTCATTTATCTGTCTTCAAATTTTCCGTAAAGTTTAGTGTTAGTATAGGGGTTTCAGTTTGGTTAAAATAAAAAAGATCCAATGGTCCTTGGCAAGTGTGTTGTAAACAGGAACCAAATAGAATTTTGCTGAAATATGATGTATTGGGCTAAAGAGGTACAGATATCACTACCCTGCTGTAAACCACAACAAAATGTGACAACTGTCTGGTTAAGGGTAAATGCAGAAGAAGAAAAGATACAAGATTTTTATGTTTTTATTGTGGCCAAAATATTTCACTTGTTTCTTGTGTATTTTTTTTTTTTTCTGTCAAACAAACCTCATGTCATTCTTAGTATCTCAAAATCAATTTACTTTTTATTAAAATTCTTTTTTGTTTCCCTGAAATATGACCTATTCCTCTGTTTATCTACATTACTATGACCTCTGTCTGATTGACTGAAGTGACTTTTAAGTGGTCTGAAATCTTGAAATTAAATTCTGAATTTAAAAAAAAAATCTAAACATGGATCAGCCACCCATGTCACATAGAAGTCACATGAGTGAGAGAGATACAAGAAAACACATACATACTGCTCATGTAATAAGAATACAACATACATGCAATTCTTACCAAATCATAAGAGATTCTTAAATCAGCACATGGTACCCCAGCCAGTAGGTAAAATCTAGCATGATCACTGCCTGCTCCCAGCGAATAGCTAACACTGGAATAATTCAGTAAAGTTATTGCTGTTCTTCTGATAAATTAACTTAATTAAAATTATGTTCAAGGCATATGTCTTTTGATTTTGTAAATGATGAAATAATTTCAGTTTCAACATTGTTTATGGATGTATTTATATACTTGTATTCAGTTAAAAGGCAGACGGATTTAGTTTTAAATATGATAAAATAATATTACATTTAGAATGTTTATGAAATTATTGAGTTAAAAGGTAAGTGGATTTAGTTCTGAACATGACTAAACAATTTCAGATTCAGAATGTTTAGGTATTTACTAAGTTAAAAAGCAAATGGATTTAATTCTGAATATGATGAAATAATGTCAGATTCAGAATGTTTATGAATGTATTTATTAGGTTAAAAGGCAAAGGTAGAGTACCCTTTTAAATTCATAGGTATATGGTGCTAGACCAATATTTTATAGGACATCAGCACTCTAATGGTAAAGTTATCAAGCTCATGCCATCCACCTTTAATTCCAATGCCATTTACTAGTACTCATTTTAAGCTGGGTGGACTTCGTAGCTAAGGTAAATTTTGAAGCAAAAATCCTCCTCACAATGGATTTTAACCCTAGATATTTGGGCTAGGAGTCCACCAACTAGCAACTACACTACCATGGCTTCCTATCATGCCAGTTAGGAAATTTAAATGCAGGGATTACAAACAATGTAAATGGATTAGGAATGTAAAGAAAACTTAACAAACTAAGTTTAAAAAAAAAAGTTTATCAGCAAGTAACAAAACTGTAATGGACAACTGGTATAAAAAGAAACACTAAATTGATCTTCAAGATGAGTGACCAGATATGAGGAAAAACTGTGCTGTAAAAGTCTGATATTTATTAAAATATTTTTTTAATGTAATGTGTTAGAAAACACAACATTTAATATGTTGTAATAAATGTTGTATCTAAGGCATCATATATAAATTTAATTTTTGTTGACAACTAACAACTTTGCTGCATTACTTAAGTAAGTTATAATTTAAAATGAGAGCACTGAAGAGAAACTGTGAGATGAACGTTGTTGAAAGAGGCCAAAGGTGCCGGACTGGATTCCATCTATGATATCAAAATTGTTTCACAGAATGGAAACTAGGCTGTGAGCCCCCTTTGTGACATATAATGGCATGATAGGATGATGATATTTATGATAATGATTTAATTTAAAATTTCAATGTCTTAAGAAACAAAATACAATTATTTAATTGCCATATGGCTTTTCACATAATGCTTTATACATGGTTTTTTTCCCCCACTGTTTAACTGTTATGAGGAAGTCACTAAGCTGCTAGACACTCGCATGCGGATCGAAAGGTCATGGGTTCGCTCCCTGGCAGAGCCAGATTTAAAAAAAAAAATGAGCTTGACTCCCAGGTCGACCCAGCCTTGAGTGGGTACTGGGTGCAGTCCTGGAAAGTAAAGACGCCCGACGTGATTCTCACCACATCACCTATCCTGTGCCGATAGGTCTATAAAAAGATAGGTCTAGCCATATAAACCCTAAACGCCTAAAGGCGTGGAAAAGGGACCTTTACTTACCTTTTTTTTTAAAACTGTTGTATAGTTGCACTGAGTATACAACATCACAGCAATCATGGTATTGCACAAAGTGCCCTATTTAACATTATTATCAGAACTATAATCATACTGAATGTTTACCTAGGCTCCTGGTTCATTAACTTGTCATTAGAGAATGGTCTGGCTAACCACAGATCATAAAGAGTTTTAAATTCACTGACTGGACTTGGGACCTGTGGAATCACAGAATTATTGCTTTTAGGGGTATAATAACATCCAAAATAGTCATCAACACACATTATAATCATGAAAAAGTAGATGCATTGATTAAAATTATGGCACAAAAATTTATGCGCCTCTGTGCACACACACATGTGCATGCGCTCATACACACTCACTCATATATATACACACACCCACCCGCCTACCATCACACACACAGTCACACATACACACACACAAACAATTAAGTGTTCTTTTCCTTAGCGTTTACCGGCTATAAATGGATGGAATGTTCTAGTTGTTCATCCACTTTAGGATTTTGGTCTGGTTCCATAGAATGAGTTATGCATGCATATCGGTTTTACAGATCTGGCTTCTTTGTATCCATCCTACTGGTTCATGGTTCCCTGCCTTTCAGGCAGATGCATTCCATATCCCCTGGTCACTCCTTGCTGCATCATTCTCTCCACTCTGTTAAGATCTATTTGCTCTTCCCGTATTGTTCACTTGTTCTCAGTGGGTATGGACCCATCTAGCTTGTCATGAATCAGCTCAACACCCAGTGGTGCAACACCAGCCAATCTCTCAACCTGATTATTTCCTGGCACACCTGCAGAAAATATCCAAATGACGTTAACTACCTGAGACCTCTGAAGTAATGATTGCCATCTTTCTCAGCATCTTTATAAATCTGTGAGAATCAGGACATGTGGGTACAACTGGTTCAACTCCATGGGGAAAAATACTATGACTGTCCCAACCTCCATTTTCAAGCTAGATGTAGTATTATATGGTAGGCTTTGTTGCACTGACTGTCATCCATTCACTTTCACAATGAACTGTCATGCGCCTTTTCTGCATCTCAACACAGCTTCATGTGTAAAGACGATCAAATCAGCAGAATGGCAATTGTCAGGAATCAGCTGTTAAGTTCTGATTATTCAGTGCCCACTGATCACTCCCTGACAAATGTGATAAGAACTGTACACAAGCTGTTTCTAAATAATTAGTTCTCTTTACAATATCAATGGTTATAAAAATATACTGAGATTACACCTTAAATGTAAACTGTAGTTGACAATGTCCGTGCCTACCTGTTTAGCAGCTTCATATAAGGCATCCTGAAGTAGTGGGCTTGCTGCAGCTTTCACTGTGAAGTTTCCTTGTACAGACATGTCAACATTGAGGTAGGCAACTGCTCTTTCATACAGCACTTTGAGGTGGTCCTTAGTGAGACAGACAATACTAATATAACAGATATTAATAAACTTGGCATAAATAGGCAGACCAGATGTTTCAAGGCTCATTATAGGAAAGATCAGGTAAAACCAGGTACAAATTCATCAAACTGGTTTTAATGACTGTGCCATTTTTCATATTAAACTAAAATTGCTAACAAATTATTGTCCTAAATAGGAAAAGACTTAATAAATCCTCCATCAAATTCATACTTCACTTCTTAGATTTAGGAGTAAAGACTGGCATAGCTAGGAATGTAAGGCACACTTAACACTTGGAAGGTCTAGTCAACTAGCACTGGCACTATTAGCTGAGAGAAACTTATGCATGTTTTGTGGAAAAGGAAGGGGTGGGATGCGAGAACACATGAACATGTCTGGAATACAGGAAGGATAACCTAAATAATAATGCATAACTCATATTTCCACTGAAAAATAAAGCATTAAGATTATTTGAATATCCTAAATAAAGAAAGTTCTTAAAATTATCCTGAAATTTCTCAAACTGTAAGTAATATATAATAAAAAAAATAAATTTGTGTTACAGAGGTGAAAACACAAATCAGTTTAATAACTAACACAAACAAAAATAAACAATACATCATGAATAAGAAAAATAGAGTATGAACATAAAGCTCTAAGAATGAAATCTTTTCTTTGTACAATGGAAATAAAATAACTGTAAAAATATAAATCAACAGTTAGAAAACAAAATTTATATAATCTATGTTATAATGATGCCTATTTCTTAAAGTAGGAAATTAAAAATATTTTAAAGAACTGAAGGACATTATAAATCTGAAAGAGAATAATAAGGACTTTAAATGACCAATTATGGTCATGACATGACAAATTATGGTCTGTGACTGTGGCTCGAAAGGATATTTTGCGGCCGCCATCTTTACCGATCGTTAGTCGGAGGATAGCCATGACAACTTACCTGTATCCACTAACTCAGTGTCACCAGAAATTCCTAGTTACAGACAGGAGCCTCTTTCCTTTACCCACTTAGTCTGTGATACTACAACACCCTTGTTACAAACATGTTCTTGTATACTGATAACTTACCTTTACTCATTTTGTGCTACCACAACTCTCTTGTTACAGGCTTGTGCTTTTATAATGATAACTTACATGTAACAGCCACTTTGATCTAACATAACCCCCTTATTACAGACATATTCTTGTATAATGATAACTTACTTTTACCCACTCTGTGCTACCACAACTCTCTTGTTATAGACATGGACTTGTATAATAATAACATACATGTAACAGACACTTGATGATAGGAAGACATAAAGACAATTTAGAAATTAAATTGAAAAACAACACCCTGAGACAAACAGAGGAATTTAAGTATTTGGGAGCAATTTTTACATCTGACGGAAAACTGGACAGAGAAATTAGCTCCAGATGTGCCAAAGCTAATCAAGTAATGGGTCAACTATCTCCCCTGTTGACACACAAGCAGATACCTCGGAGTACTAAAGTGAATCTTATCAGAACTATCTTTTGGCCAACACTATGCTATCAATGCCAAACGTGGACACTTACATCCTCCAATGAACGTAAAATTGTGACAACAGAGATGAAATGCCTTAGAAGAGCTGCAGGAGTTTCAAGGAAAGACAGAATACGAAATCATGAAATCAGACGAATGCTAGGAATAAAGCCAGTCTTACAGGTCATCAAAGAACAACAAATGAAGTGGTTTGGACACCTAACAAGAATGCCCTGGTACTATCCGCCACAGCGAGCCACACTAAAATGTTACAATGGGTATAGAGCAAGTGGAAGACCTCAGGAAAGATGGAGTGATGGCATTAAGAACAGCCTTATAGAAATGAACATCAGTCTCAATAGTGCTCTTGACAGAGCTCATCAATGAACATTACATCATCTCCCCCCCCCCCCCCCTACATCATCTCCCCCCCCCCCCCCCCCAACACTTCGATGAGGTACAGGTGGAAGAAAAGAAGAAGAAGAAAAAGAAGAAGAAAAAGAAGAAGAAGAAGAAGAAGAAGAAGAAGAAGAAGAAGAAGAAGAAGAAGAAGAAGAGACTCTTTGATCTAACATAACCCCCTTATTACAGACATGTTCTTGTATAATGATAACTTACCTTTACCCACTCTGTGCTACCCCAACTGCCTTGCTATAGATATAAGCTTGTAAAATGATAGCTTCCTTTACACACTGTTCTTGTGTGGCTACTGTGCTACAGACATGAGCGTGCATAATGATAACATAAATTTACCCATTCTGTGCTACCACAACTCCCTTGTTATAGATATAAGCTTGTAAAATGATAACTTCCTTTACACACTGTTCTTGTGCAGCTACTGTGTTACAGACATGAGCTTGTATAATGATAACATACATTTACCCATTCTGCTATTGCACAACTACTGTGATACAGACACGTGCTTGTAAAATGATAACGAATGTTCACCCACTCTGTGCTACAGCAACTCCCTTGTTATAAACAGATATTTGTATTTTGCTAATGTACCTTTACCCACTCCGAAGAACCAATGAGCCCAGTTTCTTCAGCATCCCAGCTGCAGAAGATAAGTGTCCGCCTTGGTCGGTAACCTGGACATTAACAAAGATGGCCACTGAATGGTTTCCTCTGAGATAGTAACTTACCAATTATTTAAATATTTATACACTCTTTTTAGTGTACAGGTAACAGTGGTATCAATAGTTATAAGGGAAAAAAAAATCTATGTGTTGGGCACATCATGAGCAGAGTAACCAAAGAGGTAGTGAAATAAGAAACAGATAGACAGAGGAAGCAAGGATGTCCAAGATAAACACTATGATGAATGATAATGAGAGAGACCAAAACTGCTCTACTGGATTCCATATAAAATATCAAATGTATTGCACACATTAGGACTGAATGGAGGAATTTACGGTGAACCCTTTAGGATTTATAAATGACACAATAGGGTGAATGTTGAATGTTAAATTGAGAATCCACATCACAGCACTCGGTACACTCTCATTAGTGCTTAGTCCCCATCTTCAGCAGCAAGCGAAAAGTTCAAATTCGGATAGTATCAGTAACCGTCTGATTGTAAATCTGTCTCATCCTTTCCCTGAGTGTTGAGCGTCGGCCAGATCCCCCAGTTACTCCCCACAGTGCCATTCTCCTTAGACCACATTGATATATCTGACACAATAGGATGATGATGATAGAGTAAAAATAATATCTAAACAATTCGCAAGAAATATAATACGTATGTGTTTAAAATATATATTTTCCTTAGCATATAAAGTATGCTTAGAACATATGCCTAATTTCAATCTCAATTAAAAAATTAGATTAAAATTAACCTAATTCCTTTAATTTTTATCTTATAAAATTGTAATATCAATGCTAAACAGTCTTTAATATTCACTTGTCACTGAAATTTAAAACCAAATAATACCCCATAGCACTTTATAATATCAACATTAACAGTTCAGTGTATTACCTAATTTGAGAAGTTGGCCAAAAAGATCCACAACATGAGATAAGGCTACACCCCCAGACTGAGGATCAACAGCACCATATACCCATGCATCATGATGGTTTCCAAGAAGAACATACCTGTCTAAAGACATAGAGTTCATTTTAGTCATGCAAATTCATTAGCTGAATTTTATTTTGAAAAAAAACACCAAGATTAAGCATCCCATTCCTAAACCATGCCTAATTGGCATATTTTATAATGAATTAAGATTAAATGGATGATGTCACCAATTCCAGTTAAATTTCCCCAAACATTTCTTGGTAATCATTTTTATGCAGCTGAGTCAGCCTTGGGAGCTGTAGTAGTATATTGGCTAGAGGCTTGTGTGCTGGCCTGAAGGTGCTGGGTTCAAATGTGCAACGAGATGATATTTTTCCAAAGTTGACCATGGCCTTTAGGTTGAGCCAGACTAACATGGGTACCAGATGATGTCCTGGGAAGTCAAGGTGGTTTACTACATCAGCCACTGATTGCCAGTTGATGTATAAAAATATGTCTGACATCATAAACCTGAAGCGCAACTGGTGTAAAAAAGGTTTTACAAGTTCTTTTGTCAGCAAATTTTTAAAAAATTAATTTTCTTTTAAATGTTTGAGTCAATAATAAAAAAATGTAGTCAATAAAGAAATTCCCGCTATATTTTTATAGGTGTTTTCTCTTTTTTTATATTTTTATACTGAAATCTCCTAAAACAATCAATATGTCTCATTTTTGAGCTTCTCGTATGGTATTCTCAAGGAGATCATAGAGATTTTCTTTAATATAATTTTCTTTATCTTCAGTGGGTGCATGCACATTGATCATCATGATATTTTTTCCATTTTCCTATTATTCATAACTTACTGATCCAATCACTAACAGCTTAAATATGTATAATACTTTCCCACAATAATTTCTTGATAACAAGTTCTGTCCCTAGTTCATGTTTGTTTTGAATGTTTCCTCCATACACTATGATCATTGCATTTTTCTCTATGGTACATTGTCCTGACCATCTTATTTCTTGAATTACTGTTATATACATTCTGTATTTTGATAAGTCATGGGTCAGTTCTTCAGCTGCTCCAGCTCTATATAGGGTTCGTACATTCCATGTTCCAAATCTTAAAAGTCCTTTAACGTTCCAGGTTCGTTGTCCATCTGAAAAAGAGGGTTAGATATCTGTTTAGTGACGAGATTAAGTTTTACGAAGGTGGGGGTGTTGGTCCCATGCTTCAAACCCCAGCCCGAAGATAAAATAAAAAAAAATAAAAAAAAGAAGAAGCCTTATTACAGGTTTTCAAAAACAGAGTCTTGCGACAAATCTTTGGACCCATCAAAGATGCAAACAGCAGGAAATGAAAAGTGAGAAGCAACAACGAAATTCAGAAGCTGTTTAAATCACCGTTGATCACTGGCATCATAGGAGCTAATAGACTGAAATGGTTGAGGCATATTAAAAGAATGTCAGATGACAGAGAAGTAAAAACTGTATACACAAGGGAGTTGAATGGTTGTAGACCATGAGGCAGACCAAGAAGCTGATGGAGAGATAATGTCCAGACAGACCTGCAAACACTTGGTGTCACCAACTGGAAAGAGAAGGCCAACCAGAGAGATGAATGGAGGCAGATGATATCTGCAGCAATGAACCTCAAGGGCTTGAAATGCTGAAGAAGAAGAAGATAAACACATTTCTATCTCAAAAGGAGGTATAAACCCAAACCCATTAGTGTTTTTGTTTTTTAGGAACCAAAGCTTTTCTGACTTGTTTTACTAGCTGAAAATAAGGGGTATATGTTTTCAGTGTTGTATAATCACTGCTATTTGAAATCTAAACATTGACTGCATTGAGTTAGGAGCTGACATCATAGTACCCGGGCCATCCCACAAATGTCCCTCACCCATCTATAGCAGCCAGTACAGTTTCATTCCAGTTGTACCAGCAGCAGTCTGACTGTACAGCTGGCTGGCTTTTTCCCTGAGTGTTGAGGCTGGGCCAAATTCCATGGCCACTCTTTACTGTACCCTTCTCTTCAGAGCATGATATTCTATTTCTATTGCATCGTTCACTCACATTTAAACATTTGTATAAATACAGTGAGGTTTTTTTTAATTTTCAAAACTAGAATGCACGACTTTCAAAAGTGGTTAATAAATATAACCATGTTATAATTTTCCATAGCAATGGTTGACTAGTTATGTAACCTATTAAACACTGTTTTAACTCTCAAGTTCAATGTATTGACACTATGATAACTTGAACAGTGAAACAGGATTTAATTTATCTGAGCGAGGCTGGTTAAGAGAATTTCTTCTTAATTCAGTTCCAAAGTGAGACTTTTCTTTATTCAAAACCAAACTAAAGAGACTTTTCTTGATTCAATACCAAAGTAAAGTCTTTTCTTGATTCAGTACCAGAGTAAAGAGACTTTTCTTGATTCAGTACCAAAGTAAAGAGACTTTTCTTGATTCAGTACCAAAGTGAAGAGACTTTTCTTGATTCTGTTCTAAAGTACAGAGTCTTGATTCTGTTCTAAAGTACAGAGACTTTTCTTAATTCAATACAAAAGTAAAGAAACTTTTCTTGATTTAGTAAAAAAGTAGAGATTTTTTGGGATTCATTACCAATATGAAGAAGCTTTTTATCTTGATTCAGTACCAAAGTGAAGAGATTTTTCTTGATTCAGTGTGGATAGAAAATATTGTTTCCTCTGTTCAGTACCAAAATAAAGCAACTGTTTTTATCTTGATTCAGTACCAAAGTACCATCTCCATAGCTCAGAGACCAGCAAAATCTGCAAGAAGAGTACTAACATTCAAGCCCCATTCTAAGCTTTTACATGTGTGGAGATGCCTTTTAGAGTGTAAACAGGTCAAGATTCTGTACAGTACATACAGACTGACTGTGATTAGACCTGCCTGATTGATTGACACCTTTCCATCTTTCCAGACGATAGTGTCATATTGTGATATGATGAGGCAAAGTATTCTCAGCCCATGGTGATGGCATGTGTGTCTAGCAAGATGCACACGCATTTAAAAAAAAAAGGTTTTCCAGTTACAGCTTTGGATTTCAGGACCATTGTTGTCAACATTTGTGTTTAGTGTGTTTCTTCTCAGACGCTCAGCTCTCCTACTTTCTGCGTCACTTCTTCCTTCATTCTCTTTTCCTTCCTGATGTGCCCCTCCACAAAACAAGGTCCATGGCATCCTGTTCCCACGAGTCCCCCTCAGTACCTGTACCATTCATGTACCGCATGCACACATCTTTATATCGTAGTAGAGGTCAACCTCAGCATCTTCTACCCATCATTAATTCACCACAGAGGATGTCTTTAGGGACTTTGCCATCTTCCAATCTCCAAGTGTGAGCCAGCCACCTTGTGATTAGACCTAGAATTAAGTTCAGCATTCAGTGGGTGATGTGGTCACCATCACTCCAACTCCCTTTACTTCTCAGGACATTACTTGGTGCAGATTTAAGTCTGGATTGACCTGAGAGCCAAGGTTAATTTTGAAAACAAATCGAGCTGGATGCAGAATTGAGCCCGAGACATTGAGACCGACTTACAATTATCAGACTGATATGCTACAGTGATTAGGCAAATATTGGTAACGTTTTCTGTCACAGATTGTAAGTATTGCATGGCCATCAAACATCTTCCCATTGTCCAGAGCATTTATTATCATGGATAAAAAAATTAAATCATTGTTGATTAAAAATTCTAGCATGATAAATGTGTACATTGTTAATAACATACCTGGCTCTTCTGTTCCATTTATAATCCCAATCACATGATAAACTGGACGAGTGTCCAAGAAGTTATTTACACTAACTTCTATTTTCCTGTTGGAAGTAAAAGGGAAATATGTATGGTAGTTAATAAATAATAACTGCAGAGATTTTAAGATAGAATTCAATTACTTGTGCACGATTGAAAGCTTACTGTTAAATAGAGATTTATAACTCGCATACTAATTCATTAGAGACATATAACTTCATTATTATCTGTGGCTTAGTGGTTTTGAACACAGTTTCATAGTTCTAACTTACATGGGTATGAAGTCAGCTGAAGACAGTTTGTAGTAGACTTCTTTGCCATAATTCTGACAATGGTATGAGTGGCGTCATCATTATCAATCAGCAAGTCCTTTACAGAACGTTACTATCTTCACAACACACCTGAAAGTATCCCTTTCCCTAGCCAGCTCTCCGGCCCATGTGCTTTCAATTCCAATGTGTCTTCAATGTCTTGTATTCATCTTCACGGTGGTCGACCCCTGCCTCACCTTCTACAAACTGCACCCTCCATCACCATCTATACCAAGCCACCAAGGCGTTTGATGTGGCCAAAATACTTCAACTTTCGGTACAGGATGCTGTTTATGAGCCAGTTCTCCTTGATGTTCAACTCATTCAGTATATCGATGTTTATCCTCTTCCTGATCCATGGTATTCTAAGAATTTTTCTATAACATATCAATTCAAAAGCTCCAATCTTTTTCCTCAATGACTGAGTGAGAGTCCAAGACTCACAAATGTAAGTTGCCACAGGAAAAATGCATGATCTCAAGATTTTTACTTTAACCAATTTACTGGTGCTTTGCCATAGGTTCTTCATGATATTTAATCTTTGCATTGCCAATGCAAGTCTTCTTCTGGCTTCTTTTCAGCAGTTGCCACTGTTGTTCACTAAAGAGCCCAAGTATTCAAAATCTGTTACATTTTCTATTTCTTCATTTTCTATTGTAATACGTGGTTGGTGTGCTGTATTTGCTAAGGACATAATTTTTTTTTTTAAATAAAAAGATTCACTTCTGAGTGGCATACAATTGATTAATCAATGACAAACTACTGAACCCAAAAATACCCAGCAAAACAGCACAAATAAATACTGGTCTGTAATTTCCTAGAGAGGACATGCAACTGACTAGAACTATAACTTAAACTAGCCCAGTCCCGCGCATTCATAACACATAATAAAAAAGGTCATTTACTATTTCCTTCAAATTTATTTTTCTAAACATGCCATTTTTATTCTAGTTTTACTGTTCATATTATTTTTTTTTTATTTTTTTTTTTACTTGGCTGTAATGATGCTAAACTATTACAATACAAATTTAAATGACAAAACAAATTGTAAAATATTATGCTTTCATTATTATCTTTTGTCTTGAAAATTAATTTGCAAACCAAAAAGTAGGCCATATATCGAAAAATTCACTATAAATTTCAGCTGGACAGTCATATTCCAAACCATGGGGCATTGGTAATTATGTTTGTTCACAGCCTTCTGTCTCGGATACTGCCAGTCATTTCTGATAACAAATGTTCTTCCATGCCATAATGTCAAGTTATCTGATATCACCAATGAAATGTGACCTTTATCTGTTTCCCATCTCCAGATCAACTGAAATGACAGTGTTGCTCAAAAGAAGTAAATAAATACATAATCTGAGTAAATAACGTGATGATCAGCATAGGTGGTCATGGATAGCCATTTCACCAGAATCATTGATCAATTTCTTATCCCACCTAAGCTATTTGGCTAAGTCATCCAGATGTACATTTCTTTGTCTTCCCCTTGCCCTTTTTCTATCAACAATCAGGTTTGCTAGCTGATATCAAGTTTACACCTCCTAATAAAAAAACCAAAAATGTCATGTCTACACTTATGTCCTTTATTTGTCTTGGGGACTGCCACATTTGTTCTATCAGTCCACAATATTTACTGCATTTCTCTCAGGTACTACATGTCTGCTGCCATTAGATTTTTTCAGCTCGTTTGCTAAATTAAGCATATAATATGCAATGATGATGTCATAGTAAATAAAAGTAGTTTTGCAACTAGACTCAACATCTCAATGAGCAGGCCCTTTACAGATCTCTCGTTACAGCACAGCTGAAAGTCTTTCTTTCTCTATCCAATTTTCCAGCCCTATGTGCTTTTACAGCCAATGTACTTCAGTATTTTGAATTCGCCCTCGTAGAGGTCTTCCTCTACAATTTTTTCCAGAACTGGTCTCTCTAGGCCACCACAATCTTTAACATGCTAAAAATCTGGCAGGTAGTTCAATTACAGATGAAACAAGAAAAGAAAAACGTACAAATCTGGGTTGTTTTCAAAACCAGGTCCAGTCTTGTACTCCACAGGAAGAGTTCCATGCCAGCTTGAAGGGGAAGGATGCCCAGACAGATTGCTGTTGTAGCAAGCAGATCAATGAAACATGTATAAGTTTATCATAAAAACATTTGCAAATTATGTATGCACATTCTTCTTCTCATAGCAGTGCCATGTGAAATTTAATCTAACTGTATTTTTATTGTTTCCGAATGAACTAAAATGGGCTCAATAATTTTATAGTTTGCTTAAAATGAAGTCTATAGATAATAAGCTAAAAAAATATCAACAGCAAAAGGGTAAAATTACTCACATGATCTTAACACAGAGGAAAGGTGACCCATAGACAGTATTGGTTCTCATAAACTAAAATACTTTAGCCCTAAAAAATTCCATCAGGGCTTGGAAAGAACTGGAGGGTATAGTTCCAGAAAGAAGAGACGGGTTGATCAGCATGACTGTGGACACAAGATATCATAAACATCCTGGATACACATGTTCACAAAGCAGGAGAATTAGCTAAAGATCAAGTAAATTTCTGGTATACTGTGACTGGAATGTTGTATTTTATTTCTGTGTTTCTTGGGCAATCAAAGTGGCTATCTAATGAAAAGATAAACTGGGCTGTTAATATAATTAATTTTGTCTCCAGTGTGACATCTGCTTGATCTAATATTGATGCTTTCAACACGTTTGTCTTTTTGAAATTAACTTGTAGACCAACTTTTGAGGCATTATTTGCTAAATCATCTGTTGTTCCTTTTATAATATTGAGCTAAGCAGATAATAGCAATAGTAGTGGGTTAATTCTTTTAGAACCAGGCAATTCTACTGTGTAACCAACCATAAATACTATTTACACAGTGTAAATTTCCACAAGTCTTATTTATTGGGTTTTAATGTAAAATAAAATACAGATATGTGATAGCTGAAACAACAACTGAGTTTCAAGAAGCAGAGGAAGAGGTCATAAAATGATAACAAATGTGTAGAAAAACAGGGTAATCATTAAATGTATATTGAATTGCTTGATATTGATTGAAAGGGTTGAATAAATGAATTAATCAATATTTGACATCATTGCACTCACGGAATTCTCCATATGCTCTGTTCCCTTCCTCAGTAGTCACAATGAAGAGTTTTCACAGTGACAGTAAAGTTGTAGCCCGATTAAATGCCATCTTTTCCCTGAAAAACCTACAGACACTCTGCTCACTCCATGTCTTTAAAATTACAGATGCTCTGTTCTATTGCACGGTCTCCTTGATCCCAAACAGCCTTCATGACATTCATTTTATCATCAAGTAGCTCATTGCCCAGAGGAGTGGCAGCATCCAGAATGCCAGCATGCTCATCAAAACATTCATCTGAATGTCCTTGATAGAAAAATCAAAATATAAGCTCCTGACTGGATAATTTTTAAGTGATGCAAGCTACTCTAAGGGTAGGACACCAGTATTTTTTGAAGCATGATCTGTGAGTCTATTACAATTACAACATGTCAGACGGCATTACTCTCCAGCCAGTTGTCATTAATGGAAATATGTAGCCCAAGCAGTGAAAACTAACCGTAAAATCTGTTCAGCATCTCCATAACTGATTGGTTGACATGGGATCTTCGGCAGGTTTCTTTTAGATGGGTCAATATGGTAGGCATAGTCTGCAATCAGTGAACACAAAAATTGAAAACAGTCATAGCCTTCAGTATAATAGGGGTACGAAACACTTATTAATAATTAATAATAATAATATTAATAAGAAACATTTCAAGACTGATGATCTAATTGCTGACCACATTCGATAGGATTTACAGTGTTGCTGCTGTGTGTTAAAGTATTACATCTGGGTCAAGATGTGACATTACAGCATTCAGGACAAGCCGATTTTAGCTCTGCCACCCCCTCCCCCTTTCAACAGCCAGTTAAGAGTCTCCATACTGATGATACTCCTTGTCAACTGGTTAACTACTCGTCTTGGCCCCCCCCCCCCCCCCCCCCCCCCCCCCAAACCTTCCCAGTCTCGAGTGGCACCCAGAGTCCACAGACACTCATCGCTGTATCATTCTCTCTCGGTATGGACTTTCAGTATCTTCCATTTTACTTGTTACCTTGTCACAAAGACCAGAAATCACATCTGCTTTGTGCAGTTGCAGTACTCTACCCAGTTAAAATAACATGTATGTGTAGGCTAATTTATCCATAATTATTTCTCTGTTCTCTTCCTTTACTAACACACAGACCAGCACCCATGTACACATCCATGCATTACTTCACCTTGAGTTATTGTGTAGTATACATTTCATGAGATAAGAAAAACCGCTGTGCAGTATACTGTGCACCCCATTGATTGTGTCTTCTTTGTTCAGATTTACAATGGAGAAACACTTTGATTGTTTTAGGAGAATATTTATTAAGTGTGTATATATATATATATATATATATATATATATATATATTATATATATATATATATATATATATATGTATATATATATTTGTTTTTTTAAATATACTTCTGCTTGAACTTCTTCTGTGTTTTCCATTGAAAGAGCAGCTGGCACATCATATTGTGATATATATGTGCCTCTTTGTTTGCACAACACATTTATTTTTCAGTAAGACCCTCATTAGTTGTCTTGTACGACATGTTTGCTGGGGCAGTTGGTCTAGCCCCCTCCTCCCACCACACACCCCACTAAGATGAGGCCCTGGAACCCACACAGGGATGATAAATATATTAAAAGTACCACACACAAAAATGGGGGGGGGGGGGGCAGGGGCCGACCGACACAAAGATGGGCACAGGATATAAGTGACTCCTTGAGTGTGAAAGTTCATGAGGCGGGAGAACTGGCAAGAGACCGAGTTTCTTTCAGGCAGACTGTGATGAGAGCGACGTTCTGCAAAGGACCTGCTACATGATGACCCAAAAAATGCAGCAGTTGCTAGATCAACTGCCCTGAACTGAAGTAGGGTTTTGGCCACCATAAAAAAGTGTTGCTTTCTTTAGTTCTGAGCTGAGCATTTCAATGAAAGTCTTCATCTACAATATTAGAAATGATTCTTTAAACACTGACAAAACATTTTGAAAAAATAAAAAAAAAATAAAAAGAGAGAGAGAGAGAGAGAGAGAGAGAGAGAGAGAGAGAGAGAGAGAGAGAGAGAGAGAGAGAGAGAGAGAGAGAGAGAGAGAGAGAGAGAAGTATCATTTTTCAGCCACATTAAAAGAGGTAAAGCTCTTTAAATATACACCAAAATGGAGTAGAAGATTATAGACAGGTAAGCAAAACATTGACAGTGATACAAAGTAGAGGATGACATCAAGAGATGGATGAACCACACTCCGAGAGAGGGTATGACTGAGGAGATGTGCGGAAGGTGTTTGAGCTCCACTGCAGCCAGACCTCAATGTGGAGATGGCCACTGACTGATTATTGAATATAATATTAACTAACATTCATATAAGTAAATTTACCAGTCGCAGGATAAAATGGAGTATCAGGGTTTTCTCCATTATCATGTAGTGTCCCCCTCTGCACTCCTGTGCTAGGCATCCACCATGAATTGGGGTAAGGCAGATCTTTTCCTGTCTCATTAAAAGCCTTATTGACGTCAGCTGGGTCCGTGTACAGGATCAGAGCACTAGCATTATAATGCTCAGCATTATGAACCTATCATTTGACGAGCAGAAGAGGAATTTGTCATTCATAATCTTCAACTTTCTATCAATCATCATCATCATGTGGCCTGCCAACTGGCATAGGCGATCATGCTTCTCCACAGATGACGATCTCTGGTTGCCTGGAACAGCTCTCTTGATGATATCTCTCCATGCCATTGTTTTTTTTCCCCCCATCAATGGGTATTGAAAATGGGTATGCAGCACATATGGAAATTCCTGAATCCATTTCTTGACTCATTTATTCATTTATCACTTTTTCATTCATTAAATTAATTATTTCATATACCAAACCATTTTATCTCCCTCTATATACCACAGTCGGTGTCTGTGGCTCAGGCATTGCGAATGAGCTTTGTAATGCCAGGGTGCCGGATTGGATCCCAGCTGTGGACAATATGTCTTGCATTGGTTTTGACAGTGGTACCGAGAGTTGACCGTTCAGTAGCAATGGCAAACTACTGAATATAAAATTTGCCTAGAAAAACCACAACCACTAAAAAATGCCAGGGTTGGTTCTGCAAAGACCTGTAAAGGATACACATCTAACTTATAACATCCCACAGTTTCCTGTATGTCATTCCCAACTGATTCACTTCTATTTCTAAATCATGTGCCATTTTTATGGACTCCTTTTTTTTGTTCATTGCATTGTTGTTCAGTAGAACGGATTTACTAGTTCAATTTTAAAAAATGTTTATCCAATCTATTAATATCAGAGTAAGATCTTTCAATATTTGGAAGAAAAGATACTGGACCCATCAAGAATGCTTTTGGTAAAGGATGCTTTAAAATGCATTTTTATAGCTTCATAAGTGATCCACTCTCCTCCACTAGGTGACCTAAGGATAACCTCAGCACCCAACCAGTGATGGCCCCAGCAGCCACACAGAATCTTCTTTTTCTTCTTCTTAAACTTCATACCATATCATGTTGTTACACAGAACCTTATAGAACCACTAAAGATATGAAACAAATGCTGAATGATACATTCAAAATCAAATGCCTGGGGAAAATGATGAACATAAAATGGGATGAATTCAAGAGGAAATGAATGAATAGAAGAAATGTCTGGGCATCCACTAGTATCAAAAGTTATAAGAAAATTGTAAGATTACGCCATACTGGACACATTCTGAGAAAAGACAAACAGAGAATCACTAAATAGTCACTGAAATGAGAAATAGAGAGACTGAGGAAACAAGGATGACCAAAAGAAACTCAAGGGTAAACGTTGATGAAAGAAGCCATAGGTGTTGGACTGGATTCCATCCATACTTTTGAAGTAATTGCACAGAATAGAACAGACTGGAGAAGTAGACTGGAGCCCTATGTGACATACAGTGGCTCAGCAGGACTTTGAATGCAAGCTGGTTACCAGGTGTGTTTATATCTATCTTGGTGAGTTGGATATCTTCACCAAGACATCAAGGGTTGTACATGACAATAATGATAAAACCCATGATATGAACAGTCCTGCATTTGAAATTTCTTACAGCTCGGGTATATCAATAATAATCACCACAGTCTTCAACCATATTTGAAAATAGATACAATCAATCCATACCTCAGTTACTGGATACAGGATGACACTCTAAGAACCACACTCAGTGTTGATTAACAATATATTGTTCCATGAATCAAGAGATCCACTCTGTGGAGCTCTTTGTCTTTCAATGAATACTTTAAGCCCTTTTGTGGGTAATTTTCTTATTTGTTCCATTTTAGCCTCAATGATGCCTAGTTGTATTTTTGTCTGCAAGAATCAACTACTAAAAAACAATTGCTAAAATGTACAGCAAATACTCAAGACTTTCTAATGTTTCATTGGTTATTGTTCCCAGACAAATGGTTTAATACTTAGGGAGTCAAAGGATACAGCCTGTTAAGCAATGTTCCTCCAACATTTGGTTAGAGGTAGATGCTGTATTTCTAAGCAGTGCCACAATCCATATTTTTTGTAAATAACAGAATATATTGCCAAAGAAAGAAGTAAACTCACATCAAATGACTTATTAAATGGTGATGAATAATTATGACAAAAAACCTATAAGTTCATCTACAGGTAATAACAGCAAGTTTTTATGTTCCTGTATATATCACTTTAACAAAACGGTCTTGTTATGTAGGCACTTGCTGATTAGAGCATGTTTATGTGTGTGGCAAGGAATTAGTTCAGGACAATCATTTATGTAGAGAAATCAATCTAGCCTACACTTGCAGAATAAAAGTGTAGTGCCTCAATCAAGTCGTCCGAAACCATCCTTGATACCCAAGGTCTCCATGACAAAGTGGTCAAGATTTTTTGTCTTATGGTCTAAAATTTATGGTTTGGATTTAAATTCCATTGTTTGGTTCCTGAGTTCAGATGTTTGGGAGGTCTTTGGAGGCAATAGCTGGAGCAATAATGTATACTTTGTTCTGCACTTTTGGAAGGGTCCAGCCACCCTGCACAGGCAGACCAAGTCATGTGGAACAAGATTTTGTGCAACAAAGTCAATCCTCCTGTCTTTAAACATGCAATCGAAGTTTATTATTTTTGTTTTCATTTAACCTTAAAAGCATTTAGAATTGTTATCTGGCATCTCTATACTAATTATGATGCAACAACAAGCACACAAGATAGTATTATCATTGTGGTGTTTACCTGGTTACCTCTGAAGATTTTGCCATATCGAGCTATGATAATTTTTCCAGTTAGATCAATGCTTAAATTCTTTGTCAGATAATCAAAATCTTCTAGAGTTGCATAGTTTGCATAAACAACATCTCCCTGTAAAAAATAAAATACAAATAAAATAAGATAAGACAAGGGAAATCATAATTCATTCTCCACTTAACTTCTAAAACAAAAGTATCTTGTAACATAATTCTAGAGAGGTCGACCAAGCAAGCAATGGATACACTGAATATTGCAGGCAGTAAATACCAGCATCTATGTAGTATATACCAAGTCTCTCACCCGATGCCTCTTAAAAATCTGATGGTGAAAGGCAGAACAGGACTACAGGAGGAGGAGGAGGAAGAAGAGAAATGACCACGGACATGAAAAAGTTTAAGAAACAAAAAACAAAAAAGCAAGAGACAGAAATGCAATAAGGAGCGATGGTTTTCAGTGCATTACAAATATTTTGCTGTTGGGATGTACAGAGATGATGAGAACTAAAGAGACCCAAAAAAAATTTTTTATAATAAAAAAATTGGAGATAAAATCAAGGTAAAATGGGTTATGTACCGAAGCTTTTCCTGCTGGTGAATAAGCATTGAAGTTCATTACTGTAGATATGTTGTCCCCAGGTCTTAGTGACGGTTCATAGGCCGAAGTTGTGAAGAGAGTATTCCCAGATGTTTTATTTATGATTTCTACCTGAAATAAGTAAACTTTAATGTAAAACACCTTTGCATTCATATGTATGCACATGTGTACATTTGTGAGTGTTTACACACACATGTACATACATGTGTAGGTACATACATACATACATACATACACCACATATGTACACCACATACATATATAAATACATACATTCATACACACATACAAACATCTATCTTTTTACGCAAACATACTTGCGTACATCTGCACATACTGGGAATTAATGGAAGAAGTGAGGATGCCCAACTAAAAATCTTATTCACGACAATAGCTGGAAGAGTCAAGAGGTAGCAAAACATGAGCAATAAAATAAAATGGACATAGAACATTAAAGACACCTTAGGTGTGAAGAGTAAGAGGCAAGGAAATTGGTGAAGAATTTTTTTTATGCACTGTCAAGAGATGAACTCCTTACAAGGACTGCATTTTCTTATTCTGCTTTTTATACCCTAGTGAAGCTTAGGCTCTCAACCATCTCTCACCAAGTTATCTTATTCTTTGCCGTCACATGCAACTCACCTCATATCTTTCCCGTCTCTATCATTTCGGTCTTTAATGCACTTCTGAATTGTATTATTTTTTTAAACTTCCTTTACTTCTTTGACTGTGAGAATATCAGTGCAATGTAAATCCAGTTTACTCCAGAACAAGGTAATTCTAAATATATTTTTATCATGTTTTCTCCATGTGTGTTATATGCAAGACAAACAACTTTTTCTTGCCTGTTGAGTCACTACAGTATGTTTAGTTCTCTCTCAAAATACCACAAAACTAAAGTTATCTTACCTCATTTTATTTCCTGCTATTTTGCACAGGCAACACTTTATAAGAAGATTAAAACCATTAATAGAAGAACAACTTTGAGAAGCCCAGATGGGTTTCAGACGCAACAGAAGCTCACAGACGCAATATTTACATTCAGACAGTTGACAGAAAGAGCAATAGAGTTTGATAAAACATGCCAAGTCGAATTTATAGGTCAGGAAATAGCATTTGACAGAGTGGATAGGAATATGTTGTGGGACTGCTCAAGAAGATACAGAATCAGCAAACATCTAATTAAAGTTTATAAGAGCTTATATACATCAAGTAAAAGTTGCATACAAACAAAAGCAGATACATCGCAATTTATTTAAGTGGATTCAGTAGTAAAACAGGGATGTGTGCTATCTCCCCTGCTTTTATAACATACATCGACAATATATTCAAAGAAGCAGAGAGTGAAGAGAAGAATGATATCTCAGGATTTTTATTTGAAAATGACCAAGTATTAATAGTTGAAACAGAAGAGAGTTTACAGGACCATATAAACCAACTCAATACTAAGTGTGAGAAATATTATATGAAGATAAGCATTGTTAAGACAAAGGTAATGGTAATAGGTACACAAGAAGAAACCATTTCAATTAAAGTAAATAGATCAGAAATAAAACCGACAAATGAATTTCAATATTTAGAGTCATTTTTCACCTCAGATGGAAAAATAGATAGAGAAATCAACATACGATGTGTGACAGAAAAACAGGTTATGGGACAATTAAAACCGCTTCTGACGCATAAAAAGATACCTCTGTCAACCAATGCAAATCCCAAAAGAACTGGGGTTTTTGGCCGAAATTGTGCTACCAGTGCTAAACATTGACTCTTACTACAACTAATGAGCAGAAGAATGTAACAAAAGAGATGAGATGTCTTAGCAGAGCTGCAGGTGTGACGAAAAAAAAAAGAAAAATCAGGAATAAAGAAATTAGAAGAAGATTAGGACTGAAACCAGTCATACAATTCATTAAAAAACAAAAAATGAGATGGTTTGGCCCCCTGATGAGAATGCCCTGGTACCAACTGCCACAGAGAGCTACGCTGAAGAAATATAATGAACACAGAGCAAGGGAAAGCCCACACAAGAGATGGAGTGACATCATCAGCAGCAACCTAGCAGAAATGAACACCAACTTGTACAATGCGTTGGAAAAAGCGCACAACGATCCTCACATCTCCCTCGCCAACACCCCACTGAGGTAAATGGGGGAAGAGAAGAAGAAGAAGAACACTTAATAAATGAAAGTATTTGGTTATTATTGGGTCTGTTCTCCATGTTTTTGCATACTACCCAATTACAGTCTTTTTTTTTCATTACAATAACTTACATTTTCAATTACATCTTTAATTATCTTGTGACATTCTAAAAACAAAGAATAGCACATGTGGTTTCAAATCATACCTTATTTGGCTCTGACTGGTTAGGAAACGAGAGTAATATATTGTACGTTGCAAAGTGTACATCATCCAACCCACTGGCTGTCCACAGAGAATGTATTCTGTGAGCCAGCTCTTGCGAACCTTCAGTCCCTGGTAGTCTTGACTGGGCAGTGAATTCACTATTGGGGATGATATATTTGGGTCCATGCTAAATATAACAAAGCTGATAATATTTAAGTAGTAAAGGTAAGAGAAGCTGAGAGAAGCCAAAAATGGTGCCCTAGATTCCATTAATTATATTGAAATAATTGCTCAGGACAGACAAAAATGGAGGACTAGGCTGTGAACACTGTGGTGTATAATGACAGGACATGTTAATAATGAGGATGATGATGATGATGCAAGCACCTTTCTTTTTTGGGCACCTTGAGGGATATTAGGCAGCAGTAAGTAAAGAAATAACTCTTTCTGCATCAATGGAGAATATGAGGATAGACATATTTTTATTAGAACAAATGCCTCTTGAACAATGACGGGGTCAATATCAAACATGCTGAACATATTTAACACACCCCCCCCCCGGTACCAAAATAGGCTGGGTCAACCACGAAGCCAGATTTTTTTTTCTCCAGATTTGTCCGGTGCAGATTTAAGCCCGAGACCTAGGAACCAACAGGTGAGCCTTTCGCTTAGCACTTGATGGGTGATATGGTCAATGTCAAGCCAGCCAGCTTTACTTCCAAAATTAACTCACGGTGCTCATTTTTATACTGGGTCAGTGTGAGAGACCAGTTTGATGTAACAACAAAACTGGCCGTTGAACACTAGGCCAACAGGCAAGTGTGTTACTGGCTGCACTACAGCAGCTCTGGTATAGGGTAGGGAGCACCTGATTTCTCTAAAAAGTTCTTTTGTTTAATATTAAATTCTAAAAGGTTTCAAAGTAAAATAAGCTGAATGAAAACGGAAGAAAATAAGAAAACGTATGTCCTATATAAAATAAAATCGGTTTCAAAGCAACTATTTCCTAGGAACATATTTTAGTAGTACACAGACTTTTACATTTATTACTTGACAGATTCACTGGAATCAGGATTTTTATAAAATCATTGAACAATTATATATAATTCAGAGAACAATATCACCAGTCTCAGTTAAGTTAGTTGAAATCAGGTCTATGACTGGATGAGTTGAAAAATTGGTCAACATACATGAACTATCCTAGGTAGAAATATCATCAACATCCTCATGTAGCAGGTCCTTTGCAGAACGTCACTCTCATTACGGTCTGCCTGAAAGAAACTTCTTGCCAGCTCTCCCGCCTCATGTACTTTCATTCTCAAGGGCCACTAATATCATGTGTCCATCCTCGTGTTGGTCAGCCCCTGCCCTTTCTTCCTGGTACCATGCCTTCTGCTATTATTTTTTCCAGTCCATCGTGGCTCCTAATATGAACAAAATATTTCAGCTTCTGAGACAGTATGCTGTTTATTAGCCAATCTTCCTTGATGTTCAGATCTTTCAAGATGTCCGTGTTTCTCCTCTTTTTGTCCAAGATATACTAAGAATCTTTCTATAGCATTTCAGCTCAAAAACTCCTATTCTCTTTTTTAAAGACTGGGAGATAGTCCACGACTCACATAGAAATATAGCATAGAAATATCATCACCATCATCAGGTGCCTTGTCGATTGGCGTGGGCGATTATGCCTCTCCACAATCTGCGATCTCCTGTAGCATGTATCAGTTCATGTGCCGACACACCTCCAAGACTGTCAAGCATCTTCTCTCGTTGTCTTCCTCTAACACTCCTTCCACAGATCTTTCCAGTGGTCACAACATGTTCTATTTTCTCTCTTCTCATAACATGGCCGAAAAATGATGACCACATCTCAGAGGCAAAATAATGATGACTGTCTTTTTCGGATGTCTGTGATAAGTTGTCTTCGGGCTCCTGCCTCTTTCAAAACCTCTTGGTTGATCTTTTTTGGCTGTCCAAGGTATTTTAAGCATTCTTCTGCAAAACCGCTCTCGGAGACCTCTAGAAATTGTTTGGCCTGCCTACCGATTGTCCAGGATTCACAGCCATATGTTAAAACTGGGTGTATGTAGCAAGCAAAAATTCTTTTTCTAACTCTCAATGACAAGGATATATTGCACAAGATGTTCTTCATTTTATAAAATGCAGTTTTTGCCTGTCCTATTATGATTCTTATCTCAGTTAGCATCTTCCATCTGATGTTATCCATGTGCCCAGATACTTACATTTCTGTACTTGTCCAAAAAAACACCATCGACTTTATTACACATTTAGGAATCATTTGTTTCTTTGATACCACCATTACTTGTCTTCCCATTATTCGAACTGAGGCCCATTCTTCCACTTTCTAATACCACAATGTCTATCATTTCCTGTAGTTCTTTCTGACTTGTTGCTATCAAGACTGTGTCATCAGCATAACCATATAAATATAACATAATCAATTTACTAGTTTTATATTGACTGATAAACTGTTACAGCCATGCAGCATATTTTCTCTTTCTGTCTGTAACATAACAAGTAAGGACCATTTTCTGCAAAGGGTGCATTGCCATTGTTTGTGCTGGATGTGTATTTTTACAGACCAGTCACCACTTGATGTGTGAAGGGCTTAGCATCTTCATACCCACCTTTACTTCCCAAGACTTTACATTGTACCCACTTAAGACTGAGTCAATCTGGCACACATTTACAAAAATGCTCCCCCAATTTGGATTCGAACCCAAGACATTTGGGCTTACCGACAAACGGATAAAATCTTTAGAAAATCTGGTCTCATAAAATGACAAAAATAAAAACATGACAGTCCTGATATGGGTACTCATTTTCCTATGTGAATGTATGATTCAAAACAGCCAACAGTAAAATATTGAAAAAGCAAAAATTAAAAATGTCTTAACTTCACATACTTAAGTTTGCTTCGAAGGTAATTCGTACTGACGTGGTCAAGAATATACTGTGATGGACTGAGTCTGAAAAAATATACACAATGAAAGCACTTGGTGTTTATTATACAATTTCATACAATTACCATCATCATGTAGCAGTTTTAAATCACCGTAATCATCCTGTTGTGCCTTTAATGTCATTTAGTGAGTTGTTTGCAACAACAAAACAAACATAAAAAAATCAGCCCAAAGATACAAACATTAGGAGGTGACAGTCATAATTTTTTGGACCACATCATATTTTTTTTTTAAATATGTTGTGACAACAGGAAAAATTATCGAAAGAGAGATAGAGAAAGTGTATGACAGAAGATCTGATTCTTGACAGCCTTTTGTCATGGCATGAAAGGGTGTCTGATATGTCTGGGCAGCCACTGGTAACAAAGTAAGATGGTGCTATATTGGACTCACCGTGAGAAAGAAATCAGCAGAGAATTACCAAACATGAAATAGACAGGAAAATAAAGGGATCGAAGAAGGTAGCACATCCAAAAGAAACCCTAAAATGAGCGTTGATAAGAGAGGTCAAAGCTGCTGGACTGGTGTCCATCCTGATATTGAAAAGATTGCACAGGATATTAAAAAATCAAGGAATAGACTGTGAGCCCTGTACGACATACAATGGCAGAACAGGACAACGATGATGATGATGATGATGAAAGGGTGTCATAACATGAACTGATACAACCTGATGGAGATAATATGATGGGGAGAAGCATGATCACTAGGCACTTGAAATTATTTAAAAAAAACATCACCTATAAAACTTGCCTTAAGAAAGTATAACATATTGCATTTAAGATTTTCACAAACCGTGATTAAATCTATATACAAATACTCAACATATGTAAGCTTTGAAAAGTTACAAAGCTTTCTAGTCATTTATTTAATGCAAGCAACAACAGCTAAAAATGTTTTAACTGTTTGAGAGGAAAAGATGGTGACAAATAAAGCTAATTAGGACTTATTATATGTTGAATGTTGAATTAAGAATCAACATCACAGCACTCTGTCCCCCAGCATCAGCAGCAATTGAAGAGTTAAAATTCTGAGTTTATCAGAACTGTCTGACTGTATATCCGTCTCACCTTTTCCCGGAATGTTGAGCGTCGACGAGATCCACTTGTAACTCCCCGCAGTGCCATTATCCTCAGACTGCAATGATCTAGCTGTGCCTCAGCACTGTTCACTCGCTCTCAAAGGGCCCTCACAACATCCAGCTTAGTAAGACTTAGTATATATGAAGTTGTAATATTTCTTATTCCCATAGCAATATTTACAATTACTTGTACTTTTACTCTGTCTATAAAGATAGCATGAGTAAAGCATAACCTCATCAGATAAGTAAATTTTTTTTTCAAGCCAATTATAAATTTTTTTAAAGATACATTTAAAAAACAAATCTGCATCAGCTGTTTGTCTAGTGCAAGTGACTGTCATGACTCTTGAATTTCCTCTGTCAGTTCATGTTTGATAATGATGATGTTTATTTTAGTATGTGTTGCCCAGTTAGAACGTTCTACATAAACAATTATTCTGATAATCTTTCTTTGCCTTTTTTGTCTAGTATTTTCCCAAATAATGATAATTTATATATTCTCTCCATTCTGTTGATATGCCTCATTGATATCATATGTCTTTTCCTATTTGTTCTGATGAATCTTGTAACATTTGTGACACATATTTTCATGTTTTTGGACATTTTCTCAACATTCTGAAAACTATAACTCCAGTTTCTTGTGTTCTTTATATCTATTTACTCATTATGTAGTATCATTCCATCTTAAATATCCATCAAAGTGGATTTTACAAAAACAAGTCAGATAGGTGCCTTACTGTTTTAGTCTTCGTGTGTTTTTATTTTTAACAATTGTTGGCCGTTACATTTTCCTCCACATTTTGACTGAAAAGATACAGTTCTGTCACCTATCTACTGAGCTGAGTGTATATGTTGCTTCCATTGATGATGAATTGTATTTTTATTTCTGGACTGTTTGTGTCAGCACTTCTAATGGCTGCCTTATACATTAATGTGTATGTATGCTATTGGCTTTGCTGAGACTGCAGTCTGTGTCAGTTTTTCATAAGGGACAGAGCTCAACATTCTGTTTGGTTTTCGTTGGCACAGGAATGGAGCAACTATGGAGTGATCTGGGTACTTTATTAATATCTTACACTAAACAGGGGAAATCCACAGGTCAAGGGACAGTCTAAAATTTCAAGGGGTCGTAGATAGGCTGCATGCAGTTGTGGGACATAGGCTGCATGCATTCGTGGGACCTAGGCTGCAATCTCTCGTGGGATGTAGGTGGGTTGGGGTAAAGGCCAGTTATACATGTTTGGGGGTCGTTAAAAGCATCAGAAAGCCGGAAAATCCAGTCTTACCACCCTCTAAAATGTTTGACTGTCCTCTGACGTCATCTGGGGTAGGATATTAGATATGTTTGCTGTGAAGCTGAGAACCTGTCAGTATTAAACGGGTGTATTAGGCCTAGCCAACCTAAAATAAGTACCAGGTAAATCCTCCAAGAAGGAAAGTCAATCAGCATGATATTAACTACCTCAGACATCTTTACAAATATGATGCTAGCATAATATACTTCATATAGTGAAAACGAGACCATTATTTTAATTTAGTCTACTTAACTTCTATTTGTATCTGCATTTTGGGGGGGGGGGGCGGGGGGGGGGGGGTGAGGGGTGGTTGGGGGGGGGGGGGGGGTTAAAGGTCAGTAATAGTTATATTTACACCAGTATTTCACGTTTATTCTGGTAAAACTACCACGCATTTTTCTAATTTTGCTTAACTCTTTGTCTATGATGCTGCTAAGCTCATTGACTGGCAATCAAAACACTCCACTCTTTTCTGACTACCTTCCATCTTTTCAAAGGGTTCCTTTTATGCCATAGGAGTATTTGGGCACATGTTGCTAGAATCATATTTTGTTTAGATCAAAGGGCACTCAATGGGTGATGTGGTTAATATCAAGTGGGCCACTTTTACTTTCCAGGTCATTGCCTAATACCCTATTTAGTCTGGCTTTCTATCTTAGTCAAGTGTTCATTTAACTGTTCAAAGCTGGCAGTTTGAATTTTTTTGTTTCATTATGAGCTTGGTTATCCTCACAGCACTCCGGACATGTCAATAGGTGCTCAGATTCCCTATCAACATATACATCAGTGTTCCATGGTTAATGGTGCCAGCCCTATGCTGCTTAACAAGACTTTTTATACGTCCAGTGTGCCTCTCATTCTTCATTTCATCATTGTATTTGATAGTATTATTATTTTACTGTCATGGAGTCTAATCCTGGATACTGATACACCTCATCATCTTGTAATGGATAGAATCAAAGTAAGCACAAGTTAGTAGTGAAAGAGTCAGACAATTGCATTTATAGCTACAGTGTAGTCATGCACATTTCATTATTTGTGAATAGCATTCCTTAAAACACATCCTTAATTTAATAAGCTCAATGATTTTGATAATAAATTACATTTCGGGTTGAGAGTCTGGCTGATGGGCCGAGTCTCTCTTGTGACTGAAGTACCCAATAAGTATGCCCACCAAGAAGAACAGACCACCTATGACTGCAGCTGCAATCACAAAGCGCTTGCTGCCTCGTCTTCTCTTCACCAGCAACTCCTCTGCATGCAACGACTCGATAGAATCAAACCTGCAACACAGAAGGAAACAATTTACTGCTTCATGTTGTCTGCAATGCATATTTGTGGTTCAGTGTCAGTTAGTTAGTAGTTGACAGATTAACCTCATTGCACAGTGAACTATTAAATCCATAAGTACTTAGATCACCTCCTTAGTAATTATCGCAGCATGTAACTGCTCAGGACACCAGATCTGTGTTGGTTTCTTATTCTTCTTTGGCTTTCTGCATAGTGCTCTTGTCTGGCCACATCCCTTTTAACATGTTTTTCTTGCAGTCTGGTCATTGTTGCAAATATACCAGTATCAGTTTCAGTATGTAAAGCTACTTAATGGAAGAAAAGAATTTGAATCCCTATCACAATTTTATTGGCAGATGTTGCAGTATTTGAATTTAGTATGTACGTATACCTATGCCAGAATAGAATATCAGTATATACAACAAAAGATTTGTCAATTCACGGTCAAAAGCATTAGAAAAAGTTTTTTTTTCTTCATAGGCTTTGGTGATTTAGACCTTTGTCACAAAATTATAGATAGCTACCACTCTGTGCTTGAGGTATCAGCATATTTATGATTGTAGTAAAAGACAATAATACTAATGTAGATGGTCCACGTTTAGATGGTAATATTTTGACTAGAAAATATGTTACAGTTGATGTAACAACAATTTGTTAAATAGTTATACATTTAAGCTTACAGTAGAAAATCTCTTACAGCTAAAGAAGATCAATAGTTAGATATGTATGATTACAGCAAAAGACGCATGACAACAATTAAAAATCTGTTTAAGTGTTTCTGTTTAAAGTTAAAGGTAAAGGTGTGAGGATCAACTTTATTGCACGAGGTTTTATCCCAGATGGCTCAGTCTGTCTCAGCATAACAGCTAGCTGCCTGCCAAAAGGGGTACTCAAATAACGACTTCCATAGCTCCAGTGATGATCCCCAGGAATATCAGTAAAAATTGCACCCCTGAACTGAATTGTGCGGCCATGAAACGAACCCATGACCTTCAGAGCGCGAGGCAAACGGCTTGACCACAGAGACCCCCTAGTGTTTCTGTTTGAATTAGAAGAGTGGCAGAAAGTCTTACATGTATTTGTCTAAAGTAGCAGGCCTACTACTTGTGCTAAATTGGAAGGGCTGTCTTTAGATGTTTATGACTGCAGAAAAATGTATTTTGTCTTAATATTTTTATGTTATTATTATTTTTAAAATTTGCATCAGTTGTTTTGCCTAGTGCATGTGACTCATGACTCTTCAATTTTCTCTGTCATCTAACCTTCTGTACATATACTTCCAGAACTATGAGAGGCTGTACTACAGCAGTGATACCAGCATTGTGGTCACATTCTGTGGAATCGTTGTCCTAACTAACATGATTGCCTTCATCCTGATGCTGGCCTTTTCTTTTTTAAATCTCCCTGGATCAGTCTGGGGAACACATTCCTAAGTAAGAAACTGAAGATACAGAACAGTTAGACTGACAGTACAATATTACTATCAACTCTTGGTGCCTTCTTCAGCTGTTCTTTATCCATGGCTGAAGCAAACAACCTCAGTCAACTTATTCGGGGCTGTTCTGTTAAATGCCGTCCCGGCAGATCCTTCCATTTCTGCCCCAATATTATTAATCTCTTTTTAAGTATTTCCTTTTTGTGTTTTTAGCATTTTCGTTTTTTTTTAATGTTTTACCTCTCCAGATTGGCTTTCTGCAGGATTAAATCTCAAGGATGAGAATCAAACAGGTGCAAATCTCAGAAACCTAGTTCAGCTATTTACTACCGCTATCTTCAGGCAACACAAAAGGGTTACAGAGTAACATGCAGTTCAGTGTTGGTGGGTGTTTTTTGTGTGACAAGCATTTTTAGATCTCCTCGCATCTCTTTTATTTTGTGTTTCTCACCCTCCCCCTTTCTCTCTCCCTACCTCCTTCCCTTTCTCTCTCCCCCCTTTCTCTGTTTGTCATATCCAGGATCAGTATGTTCCTCACCTCATGTTAACTGGAATTTGTTAGTTCTTTCCCAAAGCTTCACGTTAGTGAGTCTGTCATACCATTTTGATATGTATATTCTGCTTAGGCACCACCTAATAAACAATTTGCAGTAGATTTTGATCAGTGATTGTTATGCCACATTATGATGATTATGTGTTGTATCCAGTATCAGAAAGGTTGCCTTAATATAAGTTCGCAATTCAGCTAAACTGTACCACCACAGAATTACATCCCTCATAATTATTGTGCACCTGAATTCTCAAGAATCAAAGAGATCCAGGGCTGTAGGTGTCCGATTTTTTGTGCAGTGGACTACACCAGCTGTACTGTCTTGAGAGCTTGGTCTATTCCTATGAGTGCACATACCTATAGAGTGAAAGGGGTACACTTGGGTCGTAATTCCCTTGAACAGGAAAACCTTTCTACAGTCAAGGCCGTTGTGCGTGACTGAAGAGGTACAAAACACAACGGATCTGTAGGAGATATGTGTGTGAGTGTGTGTGTGTGTGTGTGCGTGCATGTGTGTGTGTGTGTGTGTGTGTGTGAAATCCCAAACAAGTCTAGCATTAACGATGCATTGATCTTCTGATTCTCAAGGCAGCTTTGTGCAAATTATCAACGACCGCCAGATAATCCTAATTAGGTACGCACATTGAGAACCCGCCATTGTGTTTACTGTGTATTTACCAGTGGACGCGTTTCTAGTCTGTACTCTGTATGCGGCTTGATCCCATGCAATAACCTGATCAGAGAAAAGTCGTGAGATTCCTGAATGGGTTGTTTCTTAATTTGGTGTTGTCAGGCAAAAATTAACCCTTTTTTTACACACACACACACACACACACAATTGTAGGCAGGCGTATCTTGTGTTCTATATGCTTACTTTCTGTGTTTCTGATATGTTACTTACGTTGGCAGGCATGCATGGTACTTCACTATCTCATTTCTGTTTTTGGAGATGATTGGTCCAAGCAGATAAGTAAATATTGTTTCATTGTCGAATTTGTATGTCTTATTATATTTCTATCTGCATAGACAGGTTAGTTGCGTATCCTTTACAGGACGTTGCAGAATTTGCAAATTTACGTCCAGTAGTTTGCCGCTGCTTACTGGACGGTCGGCTTTCTTGATACCACTGTCGAAACCAACGTAAGGCGCATGGACCGCAGCTGGGATCGAACCCGGCATTCCGGCATTACGAAGCGTTCACATCGACTTAGCCACAGAGCCGACACGCGTAGACAGGTATTGTATTATAATGAATAGTTTCCCTATGTAATGATATTGCATGTATGTAGATAAGTATATATTGTTGTATTTCATTGTCCAAAGTCCGTGTCTGCTGATATTTGATCAGTGTAGGTAGTTATGTATTGTATCTTATTGTCTAGTTTCCGTGTCTGGTGATATTTTATTTACGCAGATAGGTATATATTGTTGTATTCCAATATCTAATTTTTGTGTCTGGTGATATATGATCAATGAAGATATATATATATGTTGTATTGTAATGACTAGTTTTTGTGGCTCCGGTTATTTTATCGATGAAGATATGTATATATTGTATTCCATTTTTATAGTTTTCGTGCCACGTAATATTTTAACTGCGTATTTTGTTGTATTTCATTTTCAACATAACATCTTCTGTCTTTAAATGGAAACTGGTAGAGAAATACGTGAGACCTCAACGTACAAAACGTAAAAGTCAGCAGTAATGTGGTGATTCATTCAATGCGGATGAAACCGTTATATAGGCGAACGGGCAGGCGGGCATGCAGTCAAATATACAGACAGACAGACAGACAGACAGACAGACAGACAGACAGACAGACAGACAGACAGACAGACAGACAGACAGACAGACAGACAGACAGACAGACAGACAGACAGACAGACAGACAGACAGACAGACAGACAGACAGACAGACAGACAGACAGACAGACAGACAGACAGACAGACAGACAGACAGACAGACAGACAGACAGACAGACAGACAGACAGACAGATAGATAGATAGATAGATAGATAGATAGATAGATAGATAGATAGATAGATAGATAGATAGATAGATAGATAGATAGATAGATAGATAGATAGATAGATAGATAGATAGATAGATAGATAGATAGATAGATAGATAGATAGATAGATAGATAGATAGATAGATAGATAGATAGATGGATAGATAGACAGATAGATAGATGGATAGATAGACAGATAGATAGACATACACACAGACATTCGCGTATAGACCCAATGACACACACAGATACACAGATACACACACACACATGCGACACACACACAAACCGGCATACACACACGCGCGTACATACATAGACACATGCACAAACACTCAAAGACACAAACACGCACAGATACACGCATACAGACACGCTCGAAGACACGCAAACATACACACAATCGCAGAAACCCACAAACACACTGTGATGCTCACGTAGACACATACACACAACCACAGACACACACACGCAGTGTTCGAGACAGAGGATATGGAATAGGGGGATTCTGGGCGAACTACGAGTAATGGCGAAAGATAGGACGATCTGGTACAAGCTGACTTAGGCCTGTGCCCTAATAAGAGATTAAACGGAGAGTAGTAGCAGAGGAAAGGCAAAAACGGACATATAACCAGATTGTGACCGGTACCATCAGTATTAGAACTCTGCGATGGCTGCTGAAGATAAGGACGGATCATGAATAGGAATGACCCAAGTTCTCTGATGTCAATTATTGACAACTTAACTCAAGCGAGTAGTAGCAGACGTCTGAGTTTTTTTTTTTTTTTTTTGGGGGGGGGGGGGGGGGGGGGGGGTGCGTGGTCTCCATGCATGGCGTCTGCCTCCAGTCCTGAAGGTTCCGGATTAAAGCCCCGATGAAGGCTGGGATTTTTTTCACATGGACTTCTAGTAATTTCCTTTGGTAGTAAGATCGGGCGCTCGTGTGTATTGTTGCGCACGTGAAACAAATTTCTTGGCAGATGGAAATAAAAAAAGAGTAGCCTAGCGATGCCCGGGCACAATTTACCCAAAGGTACATCAGGATGCTCGCCAGTGTTCGGAGTTCGTGCACTGCGCTGAGAAACTTCGGACTCAGGCTTGAGTCAAAAGTAGAACGGAGCACTTATGGGTTACTACTGTTGTGGCATGATGGTGATCCGGAGTTTAAACCTAAACCTAGTCAGAGGTTTGCAATAAATGCAATAAATTATAAAATTATCATTCAAAACGCTGTCATGACAGCCTGCAGTAACCACTTTCGTGATGTGAGCTAAAAGAAAGATTGGTTGGTTGGGTGGGTGGGGGGAGGGGGTGGAGCCTGACAATTTAAGTACGCATGGCCACAGCTGTGTAGGTTGAAAACTTATTTGTGTGCCAAACAGAAAAAAAGGAAAGCATTTACCCTTACTAAGGATTCAAACCTGGGTCATATGCTTGAGACCACAGCCTTCTTAGTCCGTCTGCAAGCCACTTATCAAGAAGTACTTAATGGCAACAGAGTAATATTTAGTAAAATATACAACACGGCATATGATGATAATATCTATCTTGGAAATAGATCTGTTCATACGTGTGTGTGTGTAGATTGAAATCATAAGTTATATTTGAACAAAGCTTTAACGAGGGCACACAAATCAACAAAGAGGATAACAAAGTTAGAGTGTCCTAGCAGATATATACAACGAATATTTTTAACGCCAGTGACAAGTTCTTGGATAATAAAATCTATGTTTACTCTATGTGATGATAAACACACTAAGATGGCGAACACTGACAGAGATAGCAATACAGTACCAATACACGCCGAATATAGTCATCGTAGCACTAAGATTATGACTAGTATTTAGATATACTAAACTCATTAGGCTCGTAATAGCTGTCATTCTCTATGTTTACTGATATGATACCGAACTGTTCTTTCTTTAGTTCCTGGTAAATTGTGTTTATTTTTCTTTGTTTGCTTCATTAATCGTCGGTTTACATATATAACAAATAAAGTGGGCATCTCTTTAAACAAGGAATTGTCGGTTTTTAAAATTAATATTTGCACATCAGCTAATAATAAAAAAAAAAGTATGTCATTAGTGAATGTCAGTGAAACCAACAAGGTACACAAAGAAAATACCATATTTACAAACTTACCCTCGCATCATTATGATGAATCATTCACAGAAAGCTTGCATGAAATCTATAACTTTGATGTTTATCAGTTCATTAGTGTATATGCATCGCATGCTCCTTGCCTCCTTGGGTTAACTATTAACACACTACATATAACAAACAAC